TATACGTTCTGAAATATTGTTACTCTGGTCATACATCACCAGTCTGTGCAGACAATTAATTCGAAAAAATTCCCCCTATTACCTGATTTTCGATATTTTTTATAAGACTGTAGTCAATGATCAGAAAATCAATCCAATGATAGTCACTCGTGAAGGAAAACACCATAGATATCCAAAAATTACATGTCAGATTACATTAAAAGGTAAGCTGAAGTATGGAGCAATTTTTCCCCGATTCTCTCATATTTATAAAGTTTATAAGTAGTGTGTGTTACACAGTTATACGCGTTGACGCATATTCTCGTTTTGAGAAAATTTCAGTAAATTACCCATTTGGTAAAATTTTCTTCTTTTACTTTAAAAAATCTACCGCCATTCATTCATAAATACAAACATTTAGCAGAATACGTGGATAATATGGTAAGACCATTGACTACTTATCTATGCATGCAATTTCATTTATTTTAAAGCCATTTAGATTGAGTATTTTGGATGAGCAAGTTGATGAATCTTGCCGCAACAATTGTAAATATATTCGTCCCCATCTTGCTCGCAAATCTTCTCCAGAGGCCGATTTGTCAGATATGATGAAGTCTGCATTGACTCGTTTGGATCCCAAGATTGGAACATTGGTTATGGTACACAGTTCTAAACGAAGAAGATCTTCTGTCGGAACATTCAGTCGAAAAATGGGAGAATATTTCATGAATCCTCAAAGCGACCCTTGTAATTTGGCTGAATGAGTATTTTACTGAAATTTTCTCAAGACCATCATCACCATTCGATTCCTCAGTTATTTTTATAGTAATACAGTACACGAGGGTATTGTTTAGTAGACGCATTATTCGACGAACAGTACGTTTGATTGAGCTGAATTTCACGTCTATTATGATTTAATGCTACGCCAAAATTGACGTCTGTATATGTCAGTCTCAGAGCACATAAATTTAAACGTTTAAAGTGTAGGGGAGAATCGGGGGAAAATGGCTCCAAATGGAATACCCTTGACCATACCTCTCCAACGGGGAAGTTTGGTAAAGAGAGATGATCAACCCGATTTGTACCTTCCTAATGTAGTCCTTGCTCACTTTCTACTCTATGTATGCAATTTTCACACTGCCGTACTCTAACGGAACTATCAACTCTATACTTTCATCTCCTCCTCATTTATCGTATAAAAATTACCACTTTAGTCTGTTATTTGAAATTAGCATCTTCAACTATGTAAATCGTTGACTTCACGCAGAATTAATACTAAACATATAGTCAAAGTAGTTGAAAAAATCGCAAGGTGCATATTCAATAAGATATTGTTATAATCTTTTCATAGCAGATGGCTTTAATTGCGTAATTTTATGTAAACAAAAAATGAGAGGTTGCTTTATCCCTACTTTGCTGTCTGAAAGACATGCAAGCATAAAATTAGTGATTTATTTCTGCTCCCTTTCTTAGTGCCAGTAAACTGTCTCTTTAAAATATCCCACCGCCCAAAGCAAATTACACCTTCGAAAATCAACAGCAGCAATTTTAATGTGCTCTCCTTTCGGTTGACACCCTCCCATCATGAAAATAAAAAAAAAAAAACAGTCAAACTTCATACCGCAAAAGGGATTCTGCCGTCACTCGGCAGGCAAAAATGCCATCAGCGAGTCGAAAGCCCGCCATTTAACGACGCATTGCCGAGTGAAGTTAACAACTAATCAATGCGAATTTTATTACATTTCAATGATTCTGAAGAGCGCACTTGCTTCGGCCCCATCAGCTCACTGCCAGAAGTAATGGTGGTTGGTTTGCCCACAGAGACAAATATTTAAACTTTTCAATTAACATTGACAATAAAATGAGGCTGGTTGGCCGTCCCGCCTCCGCCGTCACCTTGCAGAGTGGTTGTGGCTGAAAGCCGATTGCAGTCGGGGGAAAAGTTGCTCTTCAAGCTACCGTTCGTAAGGAAAGCAAGTTTTAATGGTCCCTGAGTCCGGTGGAAAGCACCAACCGCCAGCGAGCAAAGATGATCTTCTCGTTTTAATTTAATTACTTCGTTTTTCTTGCCACATAGGCAGACCTTTTGCGCACGCGGACCTCGCAACTCTCGGCGGTTCAATAATATTTTACTGTGCGTTTATCAATCTCGAAAATTTATTTATAATGTACTTTTTGCAGTTAATTAATTAGTTTAATGATTACACTGGGGAGCGTTTTACGGTGCGGAGTGCGGACGAGACTGCAGGCAGACATTAAGTTTTACGAGTCCACTTAGAGGCGACGGGGTTCGTTCGATGAGAGCGACTCGTCTGGAAGGATCAGCCGCTGGAACCCATCCATCCGTTCCGACTGACCGGCCGACGGTGGCGTAGATGGCGTCGGGACAGCGATTATTGTGACGCCTTGCGCTATTTCAATCATTTGCATTAAAATAGTTGGAGCTAATGGTGCCTGCCTGTGTGAGGAGCGTGAGTCAGTTCTTGGGAGGGGGCTTTACCGAGAAGAAAGCAGAACATGAACGATTTCCAGAACGTGTCGCGTGTCGCGTTGCAGCAAGATTTGACGACAGACAGGAAATGTTTTGTTCGATCGTTCTTTTTTTTCCGTGGCGTGACGGGCAGGGGTAAGATTTATAACTGTCGAAATCCACAGCTTATTCATATGCTTGGGAAAACACAAACACGGACGATGACATCGCGGACAGATTGCTGATGCTGAGAAATTGACAAATTTATGCGACAACGGTTCGCTTGTCTGTCTACTGCGGTGTGATACTTTTGGCTTCAGGCAGTACGACTCTAAGCATGATAGATAAAATGAAGGTAAGGGTTGTTTGACCAATGTCTGTTCACTTAACCTTTCTGATGCATTAGGAAAAAATTACACAGTGTTTCCAGGCCAGAAATGACCTCAATAACAATCTGAAATGTTTAAGCTCAATCTTTGATGTCATCAGTGTGTGTGGAGAAGTGAATCAGCCTCTACTATCTTGACTAACTGTAGGCAATAATCAGGAAACATGTGTTGGTTTGTAGTAAAGAACACTGAGTGATTTGAATGTTTAATGTTGATGATAAAAATACCGAAGGATTGTGGAAAGGGCGAAAACCAAATATCTGCATCGGGTGTTATCCCTCTCAATGTCACAATATTTCTAAAGAGAATTTCATGAAAATTCTAAGAATCAAAACCTAGGAACTTAAAGGCATTGAAAAGGTAACGAATATTCCTCAAGAATCATAAATTATATAGGGTAGGGAACTACTTCGGCCTAATCGCCCATTTTGGGCCTATCGAGCAGAAAACTTCAAATAAACCCATGATTTCAGAGTTAACAAGTTAATTAGGCGTTTGGTATGATACTTTAGTTAATAAGCTACGGAACGAATTCAATGAGAACGCGTGATATGAAGGTTTGCACCCATTATTCGCAAAAACAAAAGAAGCGCTCCGACCGAATCAAGTGTTATCTTCATCCGATAGGCCGAAGTGAATTCATTGGCGTTTCAATGGGGTTTCAATGCGTAAGGCCGAGTTTAGAATCCGTAGGCCGAGTTTGGCGTCCAGAAGCAGTGTTAGTCTTTTGACAATATCTCAACGGTTGGTTTCTCTTTATCAAATCTTACGATACGTACGGAATGGTCAATAAATTTGGAAGCCATCAGTAATAATAACATTCCTTTTGGTGCTAAACTGCGCTAGACTAAGGAAGACTAAATGCGGGTTGTTCTTAATAGGCCGGAAATGGGGTAGTTAATCCTATGTATAACAAATTCAAAAAGAATTGTAGAATTAATGCCTTTTTTTTCTTGGATCAAACTTCATAAGTGTTGTGGAGATAATGTCAAGGGTACACCAGAGAAAACCTCTCTGGAGAAATTCCAGGATGATATTTAAAAATTAACGGCGCCGGTGGTGTAGTGGTAAGCGTGGTTACCTCTCACCCCAGCAGGCCTCGGTTCAATCCCAGTCAGCACCGCCGGGATGTTCTGAGGCATAACATCTATGATCACGAAGGATGGGAAGTAAAGCCGTTGGTCCCCGGTTCATGAGTTGATGGGTCGATAGGTAGGGTCCAGGTGTGGGAGCTGCCCTCCTGGCACGTCGGTAGCATTGGTGCTCAGCACGGAAAACAATATCGACGGAAAAAAACAAACCAAAGGAAAAAAAAAACAAAAAAAAAATTAAAAATTATTTCGCACGTTTTGGAATAAGAACTCCAAGAAAATTTTAAAAGAAAATCTGAAACGGACTTGCAGTTCAATAATGCAAGAAGTCAAAAATAGGTAAGGCGGGTCCAAGTAGTTTCCATTTACTTGTGTGCAATTCGTATGGAATTTTCCATTTACTTTCTACTCAAAAGTAAGTTAGTTGTACCCAAAGTAAGAGAATATGATTATGCTCAACGTTGGGTTTCAACACTTTACTACCCTTGTTGGGTGGTTTTGCTTGTTTTTGACAACATTTGAAGGAGAAAAGAAGACAAACAAATCGAAAATTGGTAAAAGTGAACTGGCCGCTGGGAACCGTGTCTGATAGTGGGAAAGATACAAAGAAAACAGGGAACGAGGATGAACAACCAACGATAATGACAAAACGCTTAAAGCTATGTCCATTTAGAATCCGGAATAATAAAATCATTCGGTAACGGATTGACGTACAAATAAGGTTAATACATCAAAACAAAGGTAATGCACCCCTCCGGAGTCAACTTCCTTGGCACATTTGTTCCACATTTTGGTCATCTGAATCGCGTCCCGAGCCGTTTTTTCCACTTTTCTTAAGCTTCCGCTTCATTATTTCCCAAAATCTCTCGATGGGCCGAAACTGCGGGCAGTTGGGTGGATTTATGTTTTTTTATCGATGAAATCTAGATTATTATCGCGGTACCACTGGATGACTTCCCGGCTGTAGTGGCAACTCGCCAAATCTGGCCAAAACTTCACGGGACCTTTATGGGCTTTAATGAAAGGTAGTACGCGGTTTTTGAGGCATTCTTCCTTGTACGGCTTCGAGTCCATTGTCTTATTCGTCACGAACACTTTGGCCTTTGCCCCGCAGCTGCATATCCCTTGCCAAATCATCAGTTTTTGGCAAATTTGTCCATAAAAGCAAACTTAAGCTTCGCAGAAACATCTCCTCGTGCCGTCGCCATGTAGAATTTTTGGCCAGGAAGCTGTCCGAAATCCATTTTGACGTAGGTTTCATCGTCGATGAGCAGGCAACTTCGAGCTCGAGTTTTGGTGACGAAACTTTGCTTCAACGTTCTGTTTGGTTGCTTGCTGGCTCCATATGAACAATAAAGGGTGATACGGTCAAAATTTGGTCAATGGAAAACGCGTGTAAATCGGTGAAATCGTTTATTTAATAAATCAAATTAAATTTCTTTTTCAAGTTCAATTAGTATAAAATTCAGGAAAAATATTCAGTTAGGCTTCCGCTTTTCCAAATCCGAATTGCCGGGCCTTACGCTTGACCCCTGCCATCAGATTTTGTACAGCCACCTTGTCCACCTTCTTCGCCGCAGAAAGCCAGTTTGCCTTCAACTGCTGCTCGCCCTTAGCAGTTTTTTGGTCTTCTTTAGGTTCCGCTTGACAATAGCCCAGTATTTCTCAATTGGGCGGAGCTCTGGCGTGTTGGGAGGGTTCTTGTCCTCTGGAACCACCTGCACGTTGTTGGCGGCGTACCACTCCATGGCCTTTTTACCGTAATGGCAAGATGCCAAATCCGGCCAAAACAGTACGGAACAACCGTGTTTCTTCAGGAAAGGCAGCAGACGTTTATTCAAACACTCTTTCACGTAAATTTCTTGGTTGACAGTCCCGGAAGCTATGAAAATGCTGCTTTTCAAGCCACAGGTACAGATGGCTTGCCAAACCAGATATTTCTTTGCGAACTTTGACAGTTTCATGTGCTTGAAAACATCTGCTACCTTTTCCCTTCCTTTTGCCGTATAAAACTCCTGTCCCGGAAGCTGCTTGTAGTCGGCTTTGACGTAGGTTTCGTCGTCCATTACCACGCAGTCAAACTTCGTCAGCATCGTCGTGTACAGCCTCCGGGATCGCGCTTTGGCCGTCGTATTTTGTTTATCATCGCGATTTGGAGTCACTACCTTCTTGTAAGTCGATAGTCCGGCTCGTTTTTTGGCTCGATGCACGGTTGTAGACGATACACCCAGCTTATTTGCGGCATCTCGGAGAGAGAGGTTAGGGTTTCGCTTGAAACTACCGGCAACTCTCTTTGTCGTCTCAGCGGCTTCGGGTTTTCGATTTTCCCCCGATCCAGACTTCCTGGCTGCCGACAAACGTTCCCCAAACACTTTAATTACATTTGTAACGGTTTATTTGGCAACTTTTAGCGATTTTGCCAACTTTGCGTGCGAGTAGCTCGGATTTTCGCGATGCGCTAGCAAAATTTTGGTACGCTGCTCTTCTTGCTTGGACGGCATTTTGACAACTGAAGAGTGAATTCCAAAATCAAAATAGGAGCAACATTCTACACACACACACCTTCAAAATGAGGGGTGTTCAGGTTTTTTAAATGCAAAATTGAAAGAAATACGTCAAGTTGATATTGCCCAAATTTTGACCGTATAACCCTTTATTCTGCTCGCAAACGAATTCTTCGAACGATACTGCGAGCAGCAGCGTATTGTTGTGCGATTTCATTATCTGATAGTCCAGGGTTTGCTCTGACGGTTCTCAACACCTTCTGGTTCAGCTTGCGGTCATATGTTCCACTACGACGCTTACCTTGAGGCACTCGATCTACGCTCTTTCGCTCCCTGAAACGTTTGAGCACATCATAAACGGTTGATTTGACGATTTTCAACGTTTTTGCGATTTTTATTGCGGACCACGTTGGATTATCAACGTGAGTGTGCAGAATTTTTTCTCTTCTCTCGGCTTCCATCTGGAACAATTTTTGACTCACTGCACGAAACACCGTGAAATTTTTACCACAGAAAGTGGGCGCCTAGGTAAACAAACCGCTGTAAAATAATTCTTGCAGCGGTCACTTTCCGTGCCGCTGCAACACAATAATTGGTTCCGGATTCTAACTGGACAGAACTTTACTAGGGTAGAGAACTACTTCGGCCTAATCGCCCATTTTGGGCCTATCGATCAGAAAACATCACATAAATTCATTGTTTCAGAGTTAAAAAGTCAATTATGCGTTTGGTACGCTGCTTTAGTTCAAAAGCTACCGAACGAAATCAATGAGAGCGCGTGATACGAATGTTTACACCCATTTTTCTCAAAAACAAAAGAAGCGCTCCGACCGAATAAATTTTTATCTTCATCCGATAGGCCGAAGGGAATTCAATGGCGTTTGAATGCGTTTCAATGCGTTAGGCCGAATTTAGAATCCGTAGGCCGAGTTTGGCGTCAAGAAGCAATGTTAGACTTTTAACAATATCTCAACAATTTGTTTCTCTTTATGAAATCTTATGGTACGTACGGAAAGGTAAATAAATTTAAAAGCCATAAGTTATAATAACATTCCGTTTGGTGCTAAACTACGCTAGATTGAGAAAGACTAAGTACGGGTTGTACTTAATAGGCCGGGAATGGGGTAGTTATCCCTACTACTACCACGATAAACTCTGTCTGTAATGAGTGTACCCCATTAGGCATAATATACGTTAGGAATAATGGACGTTAGGCATAAAATTCCTTGCTGGCAACTCTAGAAACCTGTTTCGTAGTGACGTAGCTACATATTTACTTAGATCCAAGATTAGTAGCGATAGCGGTTAAGTAATCTGGCAATGAAAACTTAGCATAGTTTTGAACTATATTTTGAAATCAATGGCATCTAGAAATTAAAAAATCACACATTTGTTGAAATATATTCTTACACACATATTGCAATTGATGCATTTCGCGCCAAATCGAATCGAATTTGGCAGCACCCTCTCAGACTTCAATAAAATTTTCTGGATGTGTAGACTTTGACTAAATAAGCACTTTTACATACTCAGTTTTACCAAAATTTATCTAGACTAACATTTTGTAAGGGCCAAACTTTTTCTGCCGATTTTTTTCAAAAAAAATATTATGGAAAAATGACAACTCCAACAAAAATATGCAGTATCGATGACTTTTAGCAAATTGTCCAAGTTATCGTGAAAAAATAATGGATAAAATTTTATTTGAGACCTACACTGAAAAAAAATCGATTTTTAAAATTTAAAGTCGATTTAAAAAAAATGACCATGTTTGATTTGGATAAAACTTTGCCTCAAGATAGGTAATTATGTTTACTACCATCCGTCCATACATCGTGAGATGGGCACTTTTAAGGAAAAAAAGTTTTTCTTACAAAAACTTTTTCATGTCTGAGCTGATTTTTTTAACGTGCCATTTTTGCACAAAACTAAACCAGTGAAGCTCAAAATCATCTCAGAACCCAATGAAGCTCAATTTGTGATTCAATTTTGTCTACAGTTTAAGAATTATGTCAAAAGATGCAATAATAGAAAAAAAATGCTTTGTAATAATTCTACAAGAACAACTGATTGCTTTTTCCGTGCTTGCGAAAAGTGTGCTTCCAATGAACATATTGAAGAGGAACTTACTTTGCTATTAGAATCAAATGTCAAACAAGATGTTGTGTTCAAAACAGTGGCTGAATACTGATCGTTGTAATTTGGAAACGACAAGGCTTGTTGATGAATTTGTTCCGTATCTCATTGATAAAATTAACAAACTTATAACTCATGATTTTATTTACAAACAACAGTCATCTTTTCTAAGAAATAAAACAGAATCATTAAAAGAAGGCGAAATTCTAGCAATTTGTGATTTTTCTGAAAATTATTCATTCATTTTCCAAAACGCTGCTCAAGGATATCACAGAAATCATTCTCAAGCTACAATACATCCATTTGAAGTTTATTATAAGAAAGATAATAAACTTGAAAATGTTAGCTTCATTATCATATCAGAAGTAATGACTCACGATACAGTTGCAGTTCAGTTGCTCATCAAAAAAAATGATAGATTTTACTAAACAATCGAAAGATTTTTCTAAATTTACATTTATTTCAGATGGGGCAGCATCACAATAAAAAAATAAAACATAAATTTTCTAGTCTGTGTAGATTTCAGTCAAAGCATGTATTAGAAGCAGAATGGCATTTTTTTGCAACGTCTCATGGAAAAGGTCCCTGTGATGCCATTGGTGGCACTCTCAAGCGAATGGCAAAGAGAGCTAGTCTTGCTCGAGATTATGGAAACACCATAACAACTCCACGAGAATAATATAACTGGGCAGTTGAACAAACAGATAAAAATATCACAAAACTACGTTTCGAGTACATATCCACTGTACATCGAAATGTCAGAAGAACTCGAAGAACTATATAACAGCACAAAGACAATATCTGGCACACAGAAATTCCACAGTTTTGTGCCTATAACTGGTGACAAAGTAGCGGCAAAAAGGTATTCTAATTCAGAAGATGAACCAAAAATATTTAACCTGATTGGAAAAAGGAAAAAATAGCATGTATTTTTTTTTTTTTTTTTTTTTTATTCTTATAGTCACTTTAACACTCTTGGGTCATTCGTGACTTGTCCGGGGGTGAGATTTGAACTCGTGACTTTGGCGTAAGAGGTAAGGATGTTAACCACTACGCCGGGGTCGCCCCCTAAAAATAGCATGTATGAAAATAGGTTTAAAACATTGAAAATATATAAATAAATGATATATGAAAAATCTTGTCTTTGTTCTCTCACATATTATCAAATTTTGCATCAGTAGTAGACAACAGAATAAGGGAATGATATTTTTTGACAAGGTCTACATGTCCAAATAGTTTTATTGAACTCTGAGAGGGTGCTGCCAATTCCAAATACGATTTGGCGAGAAATGCATCATCAGCCCTTTTCATATGAAATTCTCGATTAATCAAAGTGAGCTTAAGTGCTGATTAGACAAAATTGAATCGCAAATTGAGCTTCATTGGATTCTGAGATGATTTTGAGCTTCACTGGTTTAGTTTTGTGTGAAAATGGCAAATAAAAAAAAATCAGTTCACACATGGAAAAGTTTTTGTAATAAAAAACTTTTTTTTTCTTAGAAGTGCCCATCTCACGATGTTTAGACGGTTGGTAGTTAACATAATTACCTATCTTGAGACAAAGTTTCATCCAAATCAAACATGGCCATTTTTTTTAAATCTACATTAAATTTTAAAAATCGATTTTTTTCAGTGTAGGTCTCAAACTCCAGTATTTTTTTTTCGATAACTTGGACTGTTTGCTAAAAGTCATCCATAAAACACATTTTTGTAGGAGTTGTCATTTTTCCATAATATTTTTTTGAAAAAAATCGGCAGAAAAAGTTTGGCCCTTCTCAAAATGTTAGTCTAGATAGTGGCATATTTAGTCAAGGTCCACACATCCAGAAAGTTTCATTAAAATCTGAGAGGGTGCTGCCAGCTCCGAATACGATTTGGCGCGAAATGCGTCAATTGTCAAAGACGACAAGGTTTTCCTCAAAGAACAGCTCATGAAATAAAGAATGGCGAATTCTGTGTTTTTTTATTCAATAGCAAAAAAACAGCTAAGGTTGAATAAAATATGATGCCAAAGAACAGCTCATGAAATGAAGAATGGTGAATTTTGTGGTTTTCCATTCAATAACAAAAAAACATACCTGCTTCTTCCAGGATTTCCTGCCATACTTTCGATACAACGATTCTGGTTTTGTTGTCATCAGAATGAAAACTAGTGGAACCGTCTGCTGATGTGAGGGAGCGATACTTCCATGAACAGTGACGACTTGCCGAAACAAACAAGGAACAGTGGCAAACGTACCATCTGTAACCCAATACTTTTCCTGTCCAAGACGTCGCAAGTTTTCATGAGTTTTAAAAATTAAGGCTCTTTCATTATTGTCACCGAAGTCAGCAATCAATAGACGGTCCCCATTATCATCCTTCTGGAATTCATCGGGTAGATTATGCTTAACGTCCGTTATGCCTATCGTACATTATGCCTAACGTCCGTATGCCTAACGACCGTATGCCTGACGTCGTGTATCCGTCTGTAATGTATAGATATACATATATACATATCCCAAGTAACAAATCTAGAGCTGCTTGGCTATATTCAAAATTTATAAAGGTTTTATTGCAGCTGCAACCATTACCGACAGCTTTATGACGGTCATATACAATGTAAGTCATGGAAAATTTTATAGCTATCTACAAAACACCTATAAAGCTTATAAAAAAAAACCAACTGATGCTTATGATATTTCCACTTATTAAAGCTTTTATGATTGCCTTGAAGTAGAAAAAAAAGCAATATGAATTGCCCTTATAAACCCAAAAATAAATCCTTATATTGCTATATACGTAAGCGCAATAAAGCTAGATGGCCAAGGAACAGTTATTTTACAACCATTATAAGCATTCAGTTGCAACTTGTCAGAAGTGTAAATGTACGGTTTATTTCTACAACATAGAAAAGAATCAAAACTTTCCGGTATTTCCAAGAGGAGCGCAAATAAAATCAACAAGATTGTTAGCATGAGCCCGTTTATTTGCTACAGTCAGCCGCAAACCTTCGTGAATAACTCCAATCAAGAAAAAAAATGCCGCTGCATTTTTTGCGGATGTCACAAGCTGTAAAGAGTGTGCTTCCTCACCATTCCATTGGTCGAAATAAATGGAATGGTGACAGCTCTAGGACAAAAACAGTTTAAATCACGCATTACTTTTCATAACGGTTAATGTACCATTCAAAACTTTTCCAAATGTTTGTAAAATTCATCGGTTGCACCCGTAGAATAGGAGTATACATTTGCCCTCAAATAAAAAAAATGAATTGCTCTTGTAAAAAGAAAATAGTGCTCGTAATAAAATCATGCATTATGCTTTTCTGTTCTGCTTTCATTCAATGCACACTGGCACTGGGCCAGGAATGCAACCTAGCGGAGCAAAATTAATAACTCCGAAACGAAGCATTTCCGCGACCATCTATTGACATAAACAAATAGTTCAAAACTCTTCCGCAAAGATGACACCACAATCTAACTTCTTTCTCTGACGTTTTGGAGACTT